CAGCGCTGGGGGAAGGAGAGGCGGGAGATGGAGCGGGGCTGGGCTGTGCCGGTTCCCAACGTCTGCTGCCTGTGAGCCGTCCAAGGGCGGCCGGCGGGAGCATGAGAAAGGGCTCCTCGCTGGTATTTCCTGCCTGCTGTGCGATCCGGCGGCGCTGCCAGCAATGGTGGGGCCAGAATCTCATCACACGAGATAGCGATGCGCTGCAACGCGAGGCCGTGGTTTGTAGCCTCCGATGATCCCCCTCGCCTCTGAGGTTAACCCCAGCTGATGGCACTGCATGCAAGATGCCTTTATCCCAAGACCCTCACTGTTTACTCCCACCTCTTCGCAAGACCCCTGCCTCTCTAACTCAAAGGCAGTTTCCACTTTTTCCCTTTAAAATATAAGGCTGCTGATCCACAGACACCTTAGACCCTAATGAGTAACAGATCAAGCAGAGAAGAATTATGCTTCTGGATGCAAAGAGCCACCCCCACAATAATAATCCCTGCATTAGTCAAGATCCCTGATGGTAATCTTAATTTTGTTGACTATCCGGTATTTAGTGGGAGACAGAGTACAAGAACCAAAGCCTCACACAGCTGGCAGTAATTCATAGGGGAAAAATGCTCCCAGTTGCTTATTTATTATAGCCGCAATACCTCAGAGTCCATGAGGCTCGTTCACCGTGAACGCGGCGTCAGGATCTATCTTAAATGTTTTTAGCAGGGAGCAGCAAGAAGAGATGCGTGCACCAGAAGGAATCTTCCGCTTCTGCAGGCTTACACTCCTTTAAGCGAAGATCGGCGCGATCTGATTGCAAAAGCAAAGCCCCGCAGCCCTGAAGCACTCCCCCGTCCTTCGGCAGCACCCCGCGGCCACCCCCTGCCGCTCACCTCCGTGGGTGCACCGCCCTGGGCAGGCTCCTTCCCGCAGCACGTGGACGAGAAGGTCCATCCCTCCGGGTCTGCCCGGCTCTGCTCTTGGCACGTTCACCTGGAAACCCTCCAGGTGTTGGGATCAAACCCTTCCAGAGCTCCATCAGCTGCCCTGGTGCCTTTACCCCTTTAAGCCAACTCCTCAGCTCCTGAGAGCCTCTTCCTTTTACGCCTCTTCCTTTTACCCTTCTGGCACAGGTTTTTGGGTACGAACGTGGCCCTCAGCCCTCTTCTTCCCAGCATCACTCTGCAGGTCACAGCACTGCTCAGCACCACGCAGGATGCCTTATTCTCTCACCAGAGCTATAGTACTTACTTTAGAGGGTTTTTCTGTACTTCTGTGGCATACAAATACCTTTGGGCTACCGGAGAGAGACTTCCCTTTTTTTAGGAATCTGCTATGCCTTTACATAGCTATCAATTAGGTCTCCAGAGCAAGATATTTTTTAGGGAAATGAGGCCCATTACCCTGACTCTTAATTAAAAGATGCAACAGTTCACACTAGAGGATAAAAAGCCAGCTATGATGTGAGTATTTAAACAAAAGGAATTAGCAACGCAGGATTTAGCCCAAAACTGTTGCCCGAAACAGAGCTGGTGTGGAGGCAGCGGGACTGGTGCAAGGACCAGGACAAGGCTCCTGGCTGGCAAAGTGGATGGGCAGCAGCAGCGAGCTGGGATGGATGCAACGGCTAGGAAAAGTTTTCTTGACAAATCAGGTGGATATCACACGTGAAACTCAAGAGCTTCTCAAAACCAAAGCTTAGTGAGATCCAGCTTCTCACTTTCAGGTTTAGGACAACAACTACGACATCTTCAAGCCTGCCATCAGACACTGTGAAGTTTTAGGTTTATAAGAAGACAGAGCTTTATTTGGGGAGTGGGTGAATCATTCCAGCTTTCACCCCCAAACATCAACCAACTGCCACTGCACCAGCTTCGTGCCCTTCTCCGAAGCCCTCTTTGTGCGACGCCAGCACCAGAAGATCAGTCAGCACCGCCTGAGTGCGCTTCTAGAGTTACGAAGATCCCATCTGTCATGCTTTTAAATAATTGGCTGATCGTTATGAATGCATTTGGTATTCATTGTGATAATGTTAATCAAGATGAATTAATAGAGTCCTCATACTGTACGCGCTCTCTGGGGAATTCCATCACCATTTAGAAATTAATTAATGGACCTATAATTTTAGTGGTGCTGCCCATGCAATCACCGTTAACGGTAGGCACGAAGCAGGTACCAAATCACAGGATGTCAGTGCAGGCCACAGAGTTAAAGCATCACTGCTGATGCTCCTTTCCCTGCAGACGCTGGCTGAGAAGTTCTAGGGGTCTGAAAGGAAAGCGGGTCTCCAGCTGCCGGTGCAAGGCTCCAGGGGCAATGCCAGGGTAATGGGATGCTCCACATCACCTGCACCTGCATTCCTTCCCTGAGAAGCAAGCGCTGCTGCTGCTGAACACACACGAGAGTTCTTGGCTTCTTTTTAGTCACCTGAATTTCCCGGGGCTGGAAAGGAGACCTGCCTCCCTCCATTTCCTCCTCCTGCCACACATCTCCCATGGGATCCAGCACGCTCCATGGCTCTGCCCATCTGCAGAGCAGCCAGGGCAATGCCAGCCCCTCGCACACGGAGCACCACGTCTGCTCTGTACCACTCATCTTTAGAGGCATTTTCTGAATGTCTCGATCTCTCCATTTAAGACTAGAGGTTTTCTCTTTCCCACCAAGCTGGAAATGATGCAAACAGGACCAGAAAGACAGGAGGCAAGGAAAGGGCAGAGGATGAGGAGCTGGGAGACCTTGCAACTGCTCCATAGGGACGGCTCCAAGGGGCAGCTTTTCTTTGTCACAGAAAAACCCACTATCAAACATGTATTGCTTTGGGTGAGTGTGGGGATGGGGCCATGAGCACCCCAAGCTCTGCCCGGTGGCGTTCCTTGGAGGTCCCAGCTGCGCGCTGTGTTTCTATCAAAAGCAACGCGTTACCATCTCCTCCATTCCCTCCAACCACGTGCTCTCTCTCTCCAACCAGGTTTCTGCCTACAGCCACCCCTGGCAGAGCAGCTGCCTCCTGTGCAACCCGTCCTTGCTTGGGCCAGACAGCTTCGTTTCCGAGCTCCGAAGGGTTAAGCTCTGCAGGGCCGGGGAGATCCCCTGGGCACCCTCACCTCCCAGCCCGCTGCAATCCCCCCACACCTCGAGCAGAGACGGCTTTGACATTTGAAGACTCTGCGTATCGTGGGTCCTTAGGTAACCCCGTAAATCGAGCGTGGTGGGGTCTGCTCAAGGCTCGGCGCAGCTCCGGCGCTGCCCTGTTTAATCAATGCTCCAGACAAGACTAAGTGCTCTTCAAAGAGACCCGGGCTGGAGCGCTGCTCGCAGAAACCAGAGCGACTCGGCGGAGGGATGGGTTTATCGGCTGGTCAGGGAGGCAAGTGTGGCTCTGAAGATGTAAGGGGAGAAGGCAGCAGAGAACTGGGGTCATTTTGACATCATGTCTGGTAAAAGCCTGTTCTGCCAGCAGTTTAAAGCAGGTACAGCCAGCATTTAGAGGCCCTGCCAGGGAGTTTTAGATCCTAAATTTAAATTCCAGTAAAGGGAGGGATATCTTTTTATGAGACTGGATTTCTTTTTTCCTCCCAATGAGAAAAAAAATCCAGCAGTGCCACTGCTAGGGAATGCTACTGAGTTAGAGCAGCCAGTGCTCGGCGGCGATGCTCGAGCAGTGTGCTCTGACGAGACGGATGATAATTCACTGAGCTTCCCTGCCCGTCCTGAGCACGGCATGCACTACAAACAGCGCGCAGCTGGGACACACGCAGGAGCCTCTCACCTCCCCAGCAGCGCAGTGATTAGTAACGAGCACATTAACTGAGATCTTTATCTTGCCAATGTCCCCTGATCAGCTCCGGTCCTCCAGGATGCGACATCCCCTGTTGCACGGAGAACGAAGGGCCGTGCCAGGTGGTGGCATTCGTCACCCAAAACGCACTCAGCCCCGACGGCTTTCGCACCTCTGTTTAACAGGGCTCTGCAGGGAGAGGGAAGTATTTGCCGTCGCTGCTCCCAACACGTGGTAGTCGGTGTGAAACGGGGAGTGCAACTTCCAGGGCAGCACACGAGCTCGCGAGCACCGTCTGCTTTCATCGCCCCCCTGCTCCCCGGTGCTGTGCTCGGTGCACATTTACTAACGTGCAACCATCCATCATCCGGGCGCTATTCTGGGACCCAGCGCTGTCTTGGAGCCCATACGAGGCCCCAGCTGTGGCGCAACAGCAAAATATAAATGAGACACGCACATTTTTGGCACCCCGGCACAGGCAGCTCCCGGCGAGGCTCACGCTGGCTCTGGCGCACGTCGTGCTGCCACGTTGCCAACAGGCAGGAGCCTGCTGGAGCCTCCCAACGAAGGCAAGGTACCCGCAGCACCCATGGGTGCTCGGGCCAGGTTCTTTCTGTCTTACCTTCTCGCTTCATCCCCATCGCAAGACACTTCTGATAGCGGCAGTACTGGCAGCGGTTGCGCTGGCGCTTGTCGATCAAGCAGTCCTTGTTGTCGCGGCACGTGTAGGTGAGGTCTTTCCGCACCGTGCGCTTGAAGAAGCCTTTGCAGCCCTCGCAGCTGTAAACCCCGTAATGTTTACCTGCGGGAGGATGCGACTCGGGTTAAAAGGACCCACGAGTGTCCTGGGTGCCCCCAGCTCCCCCCTTTGCTCTCCCTCCCCACAAAGACCGTCAGCTCTTCCCAGCCATGTCTGAGGGAGCAGAGGCTTCTCGGAGCTGGGAGCAGCAGCTGAAGAGCAGCGGCTCTGCCTTCACCTGACTTCCATAAAATCAGGATGCCCTCCTGCCTTCTGTCCAGGAAAAGCCCTCATCATTTCTTAGCCGTACATCGGGGCGAGGCAGCGCAGCAGTGAAACAGGGGCTGGGTGCCTCCCTGTGTCCCCCGCGACCTGTGCGGACTCCCCATGGCAAACAGGCGACCCAGCCTGCTCCGCACCACGCACCCACCCTCCTCTTCCAGCCCCGGGGAGTCCGACAGGCGCAGGAGGTGTCCCTAAGGACCCCACAAACTAGGCAACCAGAGCACTGCTGGAGCAGAAAGCTTTTAAAACAGCGTGAGAATAAAGAGAATTAGCCCATCTTTATCTCCCACCAGTGGAGAGCCTCTATGGGAAGCAAACCTTTTTATCTGGCGCTACGTGACAAGACCCCTGCAGATCCAAGGATGGGTAGAGAGAAGGACACCCACTAACGCCTTGTCTTCAGCCGGGCTGCGCTGCTCAGGGCTGAGGATATACCCCCACCGCTAAGCAGAGACCTGGGGTCTCCTGGCTCCGGTCAGAGCCTGCCCCAGAGCAGATGGGCTGGGGGAGGATGGTCAATCAGGGACTTTTTATCCCCTCCTCCGAGGGCACTGGGGGCTCCTCTCCGGCTGGAGAGTCCTCACCTGCACTCCCTGTGCTGCAGGGAGCCGGGGAGCCGTGCAAACCCTCGCCACGCTCTCCCAGGGCATCCACACGCGAGCGCAGCCCGAGCGTGCCCCTGCGAGCCCTCCCGGGGCAGGCACCCGCCTTACCTGAAGATCTGTCCCCGCAGATGGCACATATGTGCTTGGTGAAGGAGGCCATCGTTCCTGAGGGATGTGCTGGCACTTTGAGGACTCCATTGAGCCCCAGGGGTGGCTTAATGTCCTCTGAGCTGCTGACGGGGTTCATGGGCGAGTTGAGCTGTTGAGACAGAAGCACAGTGCTCAGTGGGGAGCCAGCTGCTCAGTGGGGAGCCAGCTCCGAAGCAAGGCTTTCCCGTGCGCTCGGACACGGAGCAGGAGGGCCAGGCAGGGTGGCATTTCAAGTAGGGGCCAAGCTTCAAACGGGGACATGCACCACTTAAAAACACCCACCCACGATGCTGAACCAAGAGGAGGATTTGGGCACACGAGCCCAGAGACCAAAGGCACAAGCACTCATCTGCTGCGCTGGTATAAAAGCCGGTGTAGCTCTGAGCTGACAGCAGGATCCCACCGGCTCTCGCTGCCGGCACCGGGGTGGAAGGAGCGGGGACACGGCCAGTCCCCCGTGCACCACCAGGAGCCACACAGGGCTGACGCTGCCCGCCCTACGAAGGATGCTCCCGCACGATTTAAGGGGAAGGTGAGCTCATCCTGCGCCACCAGTCCCCTGCCCACGGCACAGCCACGGCACAGCCACGGCACAGCCCTCGTGGCCCAGCACTCACAAGCCATCCCGGCTTCACAGCGCCTCGGGATGCAGAGCAGGGAAGATGATTTGCAGCGATGGCTCATGAGAGAGCTGCTGGCTGGGAGCGAGCGCTTGCACAGATGATGAAGGCCCGGACAGTCGCGCTTTAGCCCTGCAATTTATAGATATCCTTTTAGCATTCTCTCTCCAAAGGAAAGCTTCACAGCAAATAAATGGATCCCAGATGCAACGAGGTCTGGCTTTCCAGAGCTGGCTTGGGCGGGAAACTTCTCTGCAACTTCCAGCCTTCCAGCAGCCTCTCCACACACCTCTCCTTCCCTCCCCGGAGAGCTCGGTGCCCAGCAGTTGGTGAAGAAAGCAGAGAACTGGGTGGAAGCTGGGTGCTGGCACGGTTCCTGTGGTGCTGGTATTGAGTGAAGGATTCCTGGGCTGGTTCCCACATCGCCCTGTACAGCAAGGCAGGGCTGCTATCCCCCGTGTACAAAGAGAAACTGAGGCACAGAGATGTACGAATGACCCATCTTATTAAGGGAGATGAGCTCAGAGCAACGTGTGCTGCTGGC